AAACCCTAAAAGCAGAAATCCCATTCTTTTTTTTTTTTTCTTCTTTTTTATCTCTTTTCCCTTTCTCCCCCTTCATTTGATTACTCCGCTTTTCCACCTTCAGGAATTCCATCTCTGCTTAATCCCATAGAGAATTATTCAGTGTACCAGGAACATGGCCATATGCCGCAGCGCCCCCTGGTGGTTGTCTAAAGTACAGCAAGGTCATATTTCTACCCTCTCATTTCCCCATGGACTATGTACACCGTAAGAACAGAGAGTGATGGAGCCCAGAGAAAGGACTCATACCCCAGAGTTAGGATCCCATCTCCACCTCCCACACCTGCGAGATGGAGGATTGGCATTTATAGAGATCTAGCCCACATCAATGCCTGTGCTAATCTTTCTGTCCTTGATTTATCATTGGCAATCTCTGGAAAAGACCCTATTTATGGATGATACCTTTCAAAGACAAGTAGATTTGAACCCGTGTATTAAGGATGCATTAGCTCAGTTCCTCTTCAGAACCCCCCAAGCCAGTGTCTCTGAAATAAACGTATGAATAAACCCGCACTGCCGAAAACCAACTCAGCGTTCTTTTCAAATTTACTAGAGCCTGTTCTGAAAGAGGTACCTTCAGAGCAGTTTGCTAGTTTTGTGTATTGTGCATTCAGTTGTAGAAGCAGTTTTTCATTTGCATTGCTAATGGGCCTTTTCCTGAATGTGTTTGACATTTTACTTGGCTTTGAAAGGACTTTTATGCCACTGTTTTTTCTTCCCTGGAGCTGCCTTGGGCTAATTAACCTATTCCCTGACTGGTGGGGCCTACTATATGCAAATGTCTCATTGTGGATTCTGACATAACACTCTGGCTTGAATATCCCTAATGAAATCCTGTGGGGTTTTATTGAAGCAATGCTTCTGTGTGACCTGCAGGGGGCACATGGGCTCATTCTCTCCCAGTAGATCTCACTCATGAATTTTCCTGGCTGGCTGGGAATGTGGGAGTTTCTGTGGTTCCCTTTCTTAAGAGTGACTCTGGGCATCTAAAGGTAAAAGATCATTATCGGGGGACCAGCAGATGGCATAATGGTTACATCACTGAACTCTCAAATAGTCGACAGTGGTTCAAGTCCCAGACCAGGCTGCTTAAAACTCATGCTGAGTGCATGTGCATGTGTGCCTAAAATTTCAAGAGGAGACAAGAGAAGGGATTGCAGGGAACATTGCAGTGTGGTCATCCCCCCCTTGGGGGGTGATTTCTCACTTTCTGTCTCTCTCTCTCCAGTGAGTCCACCTGCCCTGTCTCTTTCTCTCCAGTGAGTGCACCTGCCCTGTAGCAAAAAAATCTTTCTCAGAGGCCGGCAGGTGGATGATGGTTAAGGGTGCTAGACTCCCACATAGCCAATAGCAGTTCCAATTTTGGACCTGGTGGCTCACTTTCTCACTCCCCACCCCTCTGTCCCTTTCTAACCAAAATTAAAGTAAACAAATTTGAATAAAATATTTTGTGGAAAGGTCTTTGCTATAGGGCACATGTTCTTGCCAGAAAGAGACAGAGAGACAGAGAGAGAGAAAGCGAAAAATCACCCCACAGAGGGGATGGCCACACTGCAATCCCTTCTCCTCCATTCTCCTCTTGGGATCGTGGGCACGCACGCACACGTGCTCGGCGTGAGTTTAAGCCACTGGGTCTGGGACTCCAACCACAGTCGACTACATGAGAATTCAGCGGCATAGTCATTACACCAACTAATAATTCTTTAAAAGAAAAACTCTCAAGAAAATTATCATTGGGACTTTCTAGGCAACCAAAAGGGGCAACATTTTTGATGCTTTTGTAGTTAAGTTATTCTTTGTGGAGAGCGGCCATTCTGAACAAGCATGGTGACCTTTAGACACATGCACAAACGTGGTTCTGCGAGCTTCATTTGCATAGCCATGAAAACAATTAACACATGAACACGCTAGCTGCTTGCTGTTATTGATACTACAGAGCAGTATCAGGCTAAAGGAAGTCACATGTGTTTATCAGAGTCAGCCCCAAAAGATCAGAGAAATCAGGTGGAGCCAGTCATTCTCACATCATCAGTCAATTAACATCTGAAAACAACTGGCTTTGCATTCTATTTCCTCTTCCCCCCATTTTCTGCTTTATATAATAATAAACCTGAGACTGATTCAAGGTCATGGCTTGTCATCAGAGAAGTTGGGCCCACCCAATCCTCACTTTGCTATATTTGTATGTCTTTGTGTGTTTATTTTTATGTTTACTTCTAATTTACAGCCCTACACCCCCACTCAGAAAAATGTGCCCTGCACAGTTCTGTCATTCTAATTGGACTATTCGTGTAAATTGTGTGCTGTTTCTAAGACCAGGTCATAGGAACACAGTTATCCTTGGGCCTTGTAAAAGTGTTGGTTGGGAGAGTCAGTAACTGACACTACTCCTTGGGTGCTGGCTGCTATTTATTTCTTCAGCACTACTGTTCTAGGTCACTTTGGTTGTTGTTTTATTTTATTTCATTCCAGTCTCTAAATGCCTCTCTGATCATATAATTAAAAAAAAACTATTCTTAAAATATCCTTTGATGTTAAGACACCAACTTCCTAGCCCTCTCTGCCTTCCTGTACACTTGATTGAAATCAGGGAGGGTAGGGCACTTTCTCTTGGGTCATTTCTCATTCCGTTTTGTTGTTCATGTTGCGGCAACACCAACAAGAACCATGAAGATGTTACCCTCCCACCCCCACCAAAAGCGACAGCTAAGGTTAGGCAAATCTAAGTCCCACAAGAGGAATGTGGGATTAGGTGGTTTAGGGAGGGGTGGAAGGTCAGGAAGTGGTTGTGTTGACATAGAATCTCTGCTGTTTCTTCAGCATGAACAAGTATTGGGTACCAAGGCTGTTGCCATAACTGTGTTTTTCTGTTGTTGTTTTGGTTTATTTTGTTTGTTTAAGAGTTGGTTTTTTGTTTTTGTTTGTTTGTTTGTTTTGCTGTAGGGTGTGTGCACTCACTGAAGAGACAGAGAGAGATGAAAAGACAGAAAATGAGAAATCACCTCCAGGGGAATGGCCACACCCTTCTCCTTCATTCTCCTCTCAGGATTTGGGCATGCACACACATGCACCCAGTGTGATTTAAGCGGCCGGGTCCAGGACTCCAAGTGCAGTCGACTATGTGAGAGTCCAGCAACGTAACCATTACACCATCTGCTAGTCTCTTGGTTTGGGGACAGGGTCTTCCCATTGATTCTCCTGCTTCAGCCGCCTAGTTGGGACTGCAGGTCACACAGCACTCACAGCCCTGATTAGATAGCGTCTCACTTTGTTGCCCAGGCTGGTCTCAAGTCCGTGATCCTTCTACCACAGCCTCCCCAAGGCACTGGGATTGCAGGCCCACCCCATAGCACCAGGCCTTTGGGTTAGACCAGGAATGGAGCCAGGGCCTCCCGTGTGGTCCCTGCCTGCTGAGCACAGTGTCTTCTCACCATGGCTGGGCTATACTGTATTTCCGAATCAGATATTAGACGAGGGTGTTGAGGTGGGGGAAGTACCAAGCATGGAGGGCCTGGAATTCCTAAAGCCCAATCCCGCAGCTCCTGGGACCACAGCATGGTACACCGCTCACGTCTGTGGCTGCTGCCAGGGGCCGAGGGTGTCCTCACCTGCTGCTTGTCTGCAGGGCTCGTGTGGTTCCCCTGACACTCTTGCCAGGCTGACACAGTTCGCCCACACCGACTCAGCTCAGTACTCACTAAGACAAGATTGCATCCATGAGAGTCAGTCCCAGGGTCCCCGTACCCGTGTCCAGGTTTGAATTCATAGGTTTGTCTCTAGTGTAAATTCTGAGGTGACCCTTCCAAGGAGAAAGGCAAGTATGGTACAAAGACAAAACTCAAAGACAACTTGAAAAGGAAGGAAGGAAGGAAGGAAGGAAGGAAGGAAGGAAGGAAGGAAGGAAGGAAGGAAGGAAGAAAGAAAGTGACAGGGACAAACTATAACCCCCATGAAGGAAACGGTGGTCATGTTAGCCCTGTGGTTGTATTTTGTTGTCACTGTCATCAGATCCGTCTTCGGCAGATTCTGTTTGGCTCTCTGTCACCATCGAGTGGCTGTACTAGGAGTTCTTTTGAAACTTGTAGAGAGCAGGATTAGTTTTGGCTGCCCGTGCTCTCCACTGGAGTGTGTGTGTGTGTGTGTGTGTGTGTGTGTTAGAGAAGAAGGAACCGTGTAGACCGAGTGTGGACCCTGAGTCAGGTGGCGTCTTTGAAAGTCATTATGGCAGATGGAGACTAGAACAACAGCAAGAACTCCTGCTCCTGCTCTGCTTCTCCTGTAGAGGTCAAGGCCTGGGCCAGCCGTCTCCGCTGGGGTCACCATCTGTGGCCCACATTTTAGTTCTCAGCCAGGTAAAGAGGAAGCGAGGAATGGATCCAGCATTTCTGAAAAGCATTTTTCAGAAATAAATTATCTAGAGACCAGCAGATGGCATAACGGTTACGTCGCTGGACTCCCACATGCCAACTGCAGTTCGAGTCTGGGACCCAGGTACTTAAAACACGCGCATGTGGGACCAGCAGTTGGTGTAATGGTTATATCACTGGACTCCCATGTAGCCGACTATGGTTCGAGTCCCAGACCAAGTGGCTTCAACTCACACTGGGCACGTGTGCGTGTGTGCCTAATATCCCAACAGGAGAATGGAGGAGAAGGGATTGCAGCGTGGCCATCCCCCCCTGGGGGGTGATTTCTTGCTTTCTGTCTCTATCTCTCTGTTGTTCTGGTGAGTTCACATGCCCTATAGGAAAAACCTCTCCAAGAAAAAAAAAAAAAAAGAAAGAAACACATGGGCATATGTGTGTGTATGCATGCCCAAGATCCCAAGAGGAGAATGGAGGAGAGGGGATTGTGGCATGGCCAGCCCCCTGTGGGGTGATTTCTCACTTTCTGTCTCTCTGTTTCTCTTTCTCTCTCTGGGGAACCCACATGCCCTATAGCAAAAATCTCTCCTGAAAGAAAGAAAAAGAAATGCATCATCCATCCTATAGACATAAAGGAGAGAGGGTCGTAAGGGTGTCTCGGGGGGTTGTCAACTCCATGAGACAAGCACATGCTTCCCAGTTGGGGTGTCCTCAGTGTAAAAATCTTCCGTTAGCAATGTGCTCAGCTGCGGCGTTTGGCCTGCTCCCGGGCTGAAGCTTCGTGGGCTTCTGGGATTCACGGCGTATCCAGAGGCCTCGTCTTAATCTTTGGAAGATGCTGTTCCCTGGTGCTGATGTTTCCATTTCTCTTCCCTCCTTCCCTCTCTCCTCCCTTCCCTTCGCCCCATCACTGCCCTCCTCCTCCTTTTCCCAGAAGCCAGAGCTGCTGTCGGCGGATTGTACCCACGGGGAGATGGTTCCTCATGAAGAGCCTGGGTCCCCGACAGAGATCAAATGTGACTTTTCGTTTATCAGACTAAAAGCAGAGTCAGCCCGACAGTGAGCCGGTCACCGTGGAGGGGGGACGGCGAAAAATGAAATCCAGCCAGGAGCGGAGCAACGAATGCCTGCCTCCCAAGAAGCGCGAGATCCCTGCCACCAGCCGGCCCTCCGAGGAGAAGGCCACAGCCCTGCCCAGCGACAACCACCGGGCCGAGGGCGTGGCATGGCTCGCAGGCAATCCCGGTGGCCGTGGCCATGGGGGCGGG